TATCCACTGTTTCTTAGTTCAACAAATAGTACCAATATTTCCCCAGTTATGTAAGCAGAAATCTCAGAGAAATTCATACCCTTTTCTCTCACTGCACATAGATACCACCAAGTCTTACTGGTTTGACCTAACTTTTCATCACCTCCAACACCATGACCCCAGTCCAAGGGGTCAACACTTGCCAGGACTGCTGCAGCTGTCTAATTCATCTCTTTCTCCCCTCTAAAATCATTTTACATTGCTACCAGAATTATTTTTTAATGCAAATGTGATGCTACTCCATTCCCTCCACCCTTATTGCTCCTCCCCTCACTTAAAAACCCTAGTGGCTTAGGATAAACACAAATTCCCTAACTTGACCTACTAAACCAGCACTACATTCATCTTGGCTATTTTCACCACTGCCATACCGACCTCTTTCAGCATGGTAAATGTTTCACAGTCCCTCTTGCTACAGGATCTTTGAATACGCATTTTCCTTTCTTCTTTACCAGGATAACTTTTACTCATTGTTGATATCTTAGTTCAACTGAGACATTCTAATCAAAGACCTTATTTTACATTCTCATGGCACTACATGGCTCTTCAGAGGTACATTTTATTCTTCTGATTATTTGATTAGTATCTATCTCTCTTGTTAGAACTGCCCCATGAAAACATGGCTTGTGTTTTACTCACAACTGTAGTTCCAATATTTATTCGTCATATCTGACATGTAGCAGATACTCAAATGTAATCACATTAGATCCATAATTGAATGAATTTTAAAAATTTAGAAGTAGAAATGCATTAAAGAGGATAGTCAAAGGGATTATGTCAAAAATAGAAACACGGATTTTAATTATTAGATGTGCATATTGTTTTCTGGTGTAAGTAATCATGATGCCACTGAAAAATAAAATAAAGCCAGGTACAATGACTCAGGCCTGTAATCTCAGCATTTAGGAGGCTAAGGAGGGAGAATCACTAGAGGTCAGGAGTTCAAGACCAACATGGGCAACATAGCAAGCCCCTCGATGTACAAAAATAAAAATTAGCTGGGTGTGGTAGCAGGTACCTATTGTCCTAGCTATTCAGGAGAATCACTTGAGCCCAGGAGGTCAATGGCTGCAAGTGAGCCAAGAATGTGCATGCTACTGCACTCCAGGTTAAGATACACAGCAAGACCCTATCTCAAAAAATAAAAATAAAAAATATGGGAAGAAGAGTAGGCTTGGGCAGTAAAAAACTAATTTGAGATATGTTGAGTTAGAATATCTGTGGAACATTCAAATCTAAATAGTCAGTTGTTAGAATATGTGCTCCTGACTGTGAAGTGTGAAATTAAACAGATTTGGGGGTGTGGCAAAACCCACAGAGAGCAAGGGAGATAAGAAAGCCTCAAAACAACAAAACCAAACAAAGAAAGTTCACAGAATGAAATAAATGAAACCAAATCAGAATCTCAGAAACATGAGCATTTGAGAAATATGCCACGAATAAAGACAATAAATTGAGCAAAGAAGAAAATTAGAAGACAATGGTGTTACAGAAACCAAAAGAACCGAGTTTTTTTAAAAAACTGTCAGTAATGTCAAGTGCCACGGAGAAGTCAAGCAAGATAAAAAGTGGAGATGATTAAGTTAGCAATAAGTAGTGAGGATAAAGATACCACGGACTAAGGGGAGAAAAAAAGGTGAAGAACTGGAAAAACAGTAAATATGACTATTTTTCCAAAAAGTCTGAATGCAAAGGAAATGAAGGACAGGGAGAGACACATACTAGGAGTTATGGTCAAGGAAATACATGTCTGCTTATTTGTTTTTAAAGACTCTGGTATATTTATATGCTAAAACAATGAAGGCAGTGATTGAAAAACCTGTGGGAAAACATCTCATGGAACATGGTCTGAGTCATAAGGAATTATACCTTCGCCAGCAAAAACAGAGGAACAAAGAAGCTTGGGTATGAGCAGGGTTTTTCTCTCCCACAAAAGTATGGATGTGTATAGATTAACAGGTGTTATAATAGGAAGTGGCACATCATGTAAGAGATCATATGCCCTACTGAAAAAAAAAATCTGACTTTTATTATGTGAGCAATTAGGAGCTACTTAAAAACTCTTAAGGAATGGAGTAATACGATTAAAGATTATATTCATGTTTTTAGAGGAGTTGGGGGCATTCCCCAGGCCAACTAGGAAACATGCAGAGCTGACTGAAAACACCTAAAAATGTGCTAAATATCCATCCAGAGAAGTATTCTCTATTCCCCCCCCCCCCCCCCCGTGCTGCTTCTCAGTGATGTGCTTCTATCCAAAGATGCAGTAGGTGATGTTGAAGTCCCTTGATCCCTACAGAGCTTAATTTTCTTTGTTGATGTGTTACTGTAATGGGGCACATGTTCACCACAAGAGTTTTGGCTTACTTTCCTCTCTCTCTGATCATTAAAAATATATATGACATTTATTTAGCATTTTGTAAACTTTCTTCTTCTTCAAACTTTCCTCCAAAACTGCTAATAGGAGCCAGGCGCGATGGCTCACACCTGTAATGCCAGCACTTTGGGAGGCCAAGGCAGGTGGATCACCTGAGGTCAGGAGTTGGAGACCAGTCTGCCCAGGATGGTGAAACCCCATCTCTACTGAAAACTCAAAATTACCCGGGCGTGGTGGTGCATGCCTGTAGTTCCAGCTACTCTGGAGGCTAAGGCAGGAGAATTGCTTGAACCTGGGAACCAGCCAGAGGCTGCAGTGAGCCAAGATCTAGCCACTTGCACTCCAGCCTGGGCAACAGAGCAAGACTCCATCTCAAAACAAAACAAAACAAAACTGCTAATAGGTGGGAAAAATAAAATGTTGTGTAATAACATTCCGTTATAACAGAATTTTATCATGTAAAAAATTTTAAAGACAAAAAAAGTTTTTTCACATAAAATACCAAGTTTCAAATCTGAAATTTAGGTAAAATTACTTCCCAGGTTTAAACAACAGAATTTGAAGTAAAGCAATGTCTATTTCTTTTTCTTTACTAACACAAGATTTCTACTTCAGAATTCATTACATCATAAATGCACTTTTGTATGTTAAAAATTGTATAAAACAAACTTTTTTTTACAATACTGAGGTATGTAGAAAAATGTACTGAACTAGTTATCTGCTTCTGCAAAATTGTGCAAAATGCTGTTAATTCATCTTCAAGATGATTGTGTTAGGTATATAAAAGAAAAACGATCCAATTTCAGAATGATCACCTGAGTCACTGCTGGAGAAATCATCTCAAACTCAGAATCAAAATAACTAAAATAAACCTACTAGAAGATGACAAAGAATTCGGCAAAACTCTCTTTTAAAAGTCCTTCACTTAAAAATAAAATTTTTAGTAATTTAGAATAAGTCAAATTATTTTTTTAATCATAAAGCACAAGTAGACTATAGATTCTAAATCAGTCTCCTCAGTGTTGAGCTGTGCATATACGAAGGTTTCCATCAAAGCAAACAATTTGCCTTTGACTAAAACAATATTAAAAAGGAATCAAACACCAAATGTCACCTCCCAATCCTCCCCATTATCTGTATCTTTAAAGTGAAACACACAATGAACTATTGGGCATTTAAGTACCAGGCATTTTCTCACAACAGTTTGTTTACTCAACCACTCTCTGGGCTTAAACCTTCCCTGAAATGAAAAACAAGCCTTTTCGTTAAAGGCTTCCTAAGGGAGGGATGGATGGGGCACGTAGAGAAAGGGCTTCTTTCCTCAGACAGGATTGTGTCTCTCTTACACCATTTGTACATTTTCTCTTTTTCCCTTACTAGTCTTATCATTTGTACTGGCAACACAAGAACAATGTGTTCCATAATCATAGCTATAATTCTCCAATACCCCCAAAGAAGGAAATATATGAGTAAGTCACTGTGTAGGGTTTTTGGTTGTTTTTTTTTAAACCTGCTTCTCCACTATTACTAGTCTCTTACTAAAGCAACGTAACAACTTCCCCAAGGAGAAACCTTCAAACTCTGTGGACATTTCATGGCCTAAAACTGGTTGTCAAGGCTTGTAAGCACCTAACGGCAATTTACACAGTTATCCAGTAGAGGAAACGTTCACTGTAAACACAGCCAGTCAAAAGATAAAAACGAAATACACACACACACACACACACACACACACACACACATCATAGAGGTTTACATTCAATTATCTCAAGATTATGGCTGAGTTAGGACATTTCACGATTCCTCAAAGGTTTTCCCCCAGCTAAAACTATGTAAAATCACACAACATACATTAACTTGCAATAAAATACATTCACTGCACCTTGTCTTAAAACCAAATCCTTACCCAACAAGTAGCTCACTCACTTTTCTATTCAATAGGCCGGGCGTGGTGGCTCACGCCTGTAATCCAAGCACTTTGGAGGCCAAGGCGGGCGGATCACCTGAGGTCGGGAGTTCAAGACCAGCCTAACCAACATGGTGAAACCCCGTCTTTATTTAAAAAAAAAAAAAAGAAAGAAAGAAAAGAAATTTGTAAATGCACTAAAAAACTTGCAATGCAGTTATCCAATATTAATCTCGTAATTTCAGAATATATTTTAAATTCCTAAAACTAAAGTTTTTCCTGTGGAAAACAATGTAGTTGGGATTTCTCGTTACACAACAATAAAGGATTTCACTGTTTCTTTTAGCACTAGAATTGCTATACACCTCACAAAAATTGTTCTCATTCAACAAACTGAACTACAAGACACTGACTTCCAAAAGGGGACTCACTTTACACTTAACTAAAGATAGGAAGGAACCTTTCTATTAGATGTTCACACTCTTTCAGTATTCCTTAAGTACAAGAAAAAAACAAAAACCTGTCCAGTTTCTAACTCTCTTTCCTAAAGTACACCTTATATTGACAAGCAAACGGATCAAACAGCCCCTGGGATTGTTCCAGTATCACCAAGTCAGACTGAAAACTTATCACCGGCAGTGCTACAAAATAAACCTACAAAGTTCCAGAGCTGGCTGACCTTAGCCTTCTCAGGGTCTGTAGGAAACCGCAAACGTAAAGGCAAAAGTCACACGTACTGAAGGCTTCTCAGCAGAGGAGCTCAACTGAAGGGCTAAATAAGAGCAAGCACGCGGGTGGCACACTGAAATGTCGTAGAAGGCAGGAAGCCCCGCTACTATGAACCTACAACTCTGCTTTCGCGGCTGACGCATCGCTCCTGCCCGCACGCGCTTGGGGCCGTGCCAAGAGCACCGGGCAGCCCTCGCCAGGCACCTCCCGGGCTCCTCCGCCTCCCCAGCGCGCCCTACACCTGACAGCCGAGTTCTAAACAGGGAGGAAAGGTGAGGAGAGACGCCCTCCGCGGAGCCCTAGTCCGGCTGCACCCAACTCTCCCCGGGCCGTGGCCAGAGTCGGGAGACGGCTCTCACTCCCGAGGGGTCCCGCGCCACTGACAGCGGGAACCGGAGACGGACGCAGCTTGCGCCACCTCCAGAGCCCACTCCCCGCCGCAGCCCCTACCGCACGCCCGCGGGTGCCCACCCACCCACGCCCCGCTGAAGCACGCCGTCGGCCTCAGGAGCCAAGGACTTGGGCCCCGGCCGACGGCGGCGCGGGCGGGACCGAACACCCGGGTGGCGCCCCCGCGGGACCGCAAGATGGCGGCGGCGGCGCCAGGGCCCGGCTCCCCTCCGCCTCGCCTGGGCCGGCGCGCGCACTGCAGCGCGGGCGGGCGAAAGGGAAAGAAGCCAGCCTGAGAGCCGGGCAGGCAGGCAGAGGCCGCGGCGAGGCAGCAGCCGGGAAAGGGCAGGCGCCCGGGCGTGGGGGAGGGGGCGCTCCCTCGGGCCGCGGCCGCCGACGTGCTCTCCGCGCCCCCCGCCGCCGACAGCCGTCCGCGTGCCCCATCCCGCCCGGGGGTGTCCCCATCCTGCCTACCTTTGAATTTGAGGTCTGTGGGCGGGTCGAGGACCAAGATCTGCTCATGCTTCGCCATGGCCCCGGAGGCGGACGCCATCGGAGAGACAGCGCAGAGCGGGGGCGCGCCCGCGGCGACGGTTTGCTGGCTGGGGGCGGGGAACGACGGTGGTGCCCGCTCGGCCAACCTCTAGGACGGAGCCAGGCTCGCCGCTTCCGAGCCCTGACGCCTGCCGCTGTGTCGCGGGTACGGTGGGCCACCCGCTGGGTCAGCAGCTCCGGATCTCACAACTGACTCAACCCCACACCAGCCGCCACGGCCACGCGCACTGCGATCTTCGGCGCCCCACGTGATGGTCTCTGCGTTGCCTACGTGCGCGCCCCGGCGACCGAGAGCCCCTCGCGCTCGTCCCGCCCTCCAGGCCTACCTAACGCGGCGCCGGGCTACTGCGCCTGCGCGCTGAGGGCTCGCCGCGGCTCCAAGCGCAGCCCAGCTGTCAAGGGAACGGGTGTGGAAAGAGGCGGGGCAAAGGCCCGCGGGACCGACGCGATGCGCAGCCGCAGGCTTGAGGCGCAGTCCTCTGTCACGTTGAGCTACGAGTACGAAACTAGAGAACCTGCTCTGGCAGCGCATCACGGTCTTCCAAGTGGGAATGCCTAGGGAGGAGTAGTGGGGAAGCGCCCACTCACTACAACTCCCAGCATGCCCCTTGTGGGGCGGGGCCTTCGCCGAGGGCCTGGTACTTCGCGGTGCTTGCTGGGAAGTGTAGTAGTGGCTGTTTGTGGGCGGGAAGGTGAGCGAGGTCCTTTTGAGGCGAATGGGGTGGGGTTCGCGGACGCTAATTTTGGCTCAGAGCACGTCTAGTTTGCGCTAAAAAGGAAAAAACTTTTGAAGGCGGAAACGAGTTCCCAATGTTAGAAATATACTGATAAAATCTGCCCTGTGGAGAACAGGCGGGGATGTGTCCGTTTGCTCTGTAATTCTATCCATCCCTCTGTTGGCAAGACTGCATTCCCTGTAATGATCCCATCCAGCCTCTCCTGCTTCCTGAGTTCTCTCCAGTGATGCAAAATCAGATAAGGAAGCACACCCCGTCTAGGAAGCAAACGAGTCGCAGGGGAAATATGACAAAGCACACAAAAGCTAGAAACAAAAGTCAAAATCTACACCATCGAGCCTACGAATCTTCAGTTTTGATTAATGATGGACCCAAACCAACACAGTTGTCACGTTCACATGTTACAAAAGAAATCCATCTGCATCACTTATGATAGGCTGTAGTAAACTGAACCAAATGAGAAAAATCCCAGCAGCAAAGTTGCTGACAAATCTTTAGCCGATTGCCAAGGTAATCCGGTACAGGAACGTCAAATGAAGCGAATGTGCTGTAAATAAACCTTTATTGTATTGTATGATACTGTCTGAATTTAAATATCTAGGAAGCGCCACAAAATAAAAGACATATTGATTGATGCTACTGCCGTAAAGCAGCACAGTTTGTCTAGAAAATAAATGAGACAAAACAGCAGTCAAGACGCAGGCACCAAGTTTTCATGTGCAATCCAGGTATCAGAGTCCACCCAGGAACAGCCTACTGGAATCACTAACCTGGCATTCACAGAAGATGGTGCCACCCAGGAGGAATGCATCTTCAGCCTTGAAGTTCCTGGGAGGATAGAGTGCTTAAGAAGTTTGAAGCATATTCTAAATTTACCTTTCCTGTGATTTCTTTCTATTTGCAAAATTTATTCTGAAATGTCGATTATCATTAAGGCAGAATACCAAAAAAAATTGTATATGAGTTAAAGTTGATTTTGTTTTAAGGAAAAAAAAACTAAAGTTGACAATCAGTCCAAATAATAGTGTCCCACATAAGTTTAGTTGTGAATTGACAACCCTAAAGGCCCTCACAAACTCCAGTATTTTGCCAGCCTAAGATCTCTCCTCCATGGGCAAGCTAGCCTAGGCTGAACCGGTCCCTCCATAGCTGGAGGGACACTTCTCTTACCAGAAAGCATTTGTGAATCCCCCATGTGCAAACAGCCAACTAGCAGAATAGCATGCAGAGGAAATTCCCAGCAACTCCCCTACGGAAGGATGAATGGTCCACCCATTCACCATGGGTTTAATGGGAATCCCGAATTGGATGTATTCCAGTTTCCCAGTCTTATCATTAAGAAATCTCTACCCATTTGAGTCCTCTATCATTGGAATTAACTGTTTTTTTCTCTTCTTAGTATTGCTTCAAAAATCATACAGGTGTAGTCTTAAAATATACAAGAATTTAAAATTCTGGTATTCTAAGAATATGTGAAACATCTTGGGATTAATCCCTTATTCATATTTTAGGGCATTAGATTAATAATGACTGAGTCATCTTGAATCATCTACTTCCCATCAAATACTGCACTATTTAAGTGGTTTGTGCTTTGATATTTATTAATACATTTCTTCTAGCACTACACACTTTACAAACATCATCAGACCCTACTCAAAACAACTTTATAACAGTTGGCAAGTGCTACTTTCATTATTAAATATGGAAATGAAAACACAGATGACAGCATCTCATCTCAGTAATAGAGCTCATCTATGGGCAGGGGAAGTTGCCCAATGTTCTATTCTATGCATTTTTTGCTCTTCCCAAAGCCACAATAAAATGACAGCCCACAGTGGTCAAGGCAACAATTTAAAATGTAATTGATTTATCTATTGTTTAACATTTAAGCTAGGAGTAATGAACAATGGGACCTATGTTCATTTTGTTTGCTCTTTTTAGATTGGTTAATGCAGCACAGAAAGGCCTTAAAGTATTAGCAAATATGTATATATACACACACATATTTAAATATACTTTTAACCATATCAAGCAACCAAATGTTTATGAGTCTAAGAGGTACAAAGGCCTTGAATATTATTTTAACCTATTTGAATCACTAATAGTATTCACCTTTGGACAAGTTATCTGTTATGGGCTTGGCAAAGATCTTTTTTTTCAAGTTTCCAGTATAGATGGTGTCAGTACTGGAAACTTAAAAAAACTTCTCCAGGCGGAGGTTGCGGTGAGCCGAGATCACGCCATTGCACTCCAGCCTGGGTAACAAGAGCGAAACTCCGTCTCAAAAAAAAAAAAAAAAAAAAACTTCTCCATAGTTAAACACTAAACTTTGCAGTAGCGGTGCTCTATAATTATGAATTTGTTTATGAGCAATTCTCTGAGTAATTCACTTCAGTGAACATTTAAATAGGCATGCTTTCAATAAATGTAAAGGCAGTAAAATAAAAGTATGGGTTTTGGATCTGCACTGCTGGGTTCAAGTTCCATTTTCCACTGTGTGATCTTTGCAGCTTACTTCACCTCTCTGTGCCTGTTTTACATCTGTAAAATGAGAAGAATAATAATACGTACATTTTAGGTTTGTTACCAGGATTCAATGAGTTTCTACACATGATGAGCTTAAAATAGTGCCTGATTCCAGCACTATTACCTTATTAATATTAAATATTAAGTTACTGCTGTGTGCCCAGCACCATGGCAGTTACTGATGATTAGTGGTGAGCTGATAGATATGGTCCCTATCCTAATAGACTTATATCCAAGAGTGAGAGACAAATGTGAAATAACTATACAATTATTTCATTTGAATTATAATAAATATTAGGAATGAGAGGTCTAAGGTACTGGGAGAGTAATCCGTAGGAACTGAGTTGAGGGTTTGGAGATGATCTCCTTTAGGGAGTAATAAGAAGTATCTTCTGAAGGATATCTGGATATCCAGGCAAGGGGAACAGCATACGCAAAGGCCAGGCTGACATGAGCAAGGCTCATTACACATAGTGAAAGAAAGGCCGATGTGTATGGTGAATAAACGAGTAGTGTGTAGCAGGAGATGAGGCTGAAAAGCCAGATTATGCAGATTACTTTAGGCCATATTAAAGATTTGAGTCTTTATCATAAGAAAATAGGAAACCAGGCCAGGCGTGGTGGCTCACGCCTGTAATCCAAGCACTTTGGAGGCCAAGGCAGGTGGATCACCTGAGATTGGGAGTTCAAGACCAGCCTGACCAACATGGTGAAACCCTGTCTCAAAAACAAAAATAAAAAAAAAATAGGAAACCATCAAAGAGTTTAAACAATAGAGTCATATGAGCAATTCTTAAAAGTTCTCTTGACTACAATGTGATGATTGGATTAGAGGGAGTAAGAGGGAATATGGGAAGAACTGTTTACATTAGTGCTATAATTCAGAAGACAGAGGATGGCTCTGTCTTCTGAATTACAGAACAGTGTTGCAGAGAATGGTAGTTTAGGCTAAGGTAGACACAGTGGAGATGGAGCAAATATGAATGGGTTTGAGAGATATTTAGGTGGTAGAATCAATAGCCTATCAGCTATTGATTAGATACAGGGGTGGTAAGAGAAAGCGGGGAGAGTGAGTAATCACTCCCCTTCTTCTGGTGTGTGCAGGTGGATGAATAATGGTACCAGTCATGGAGAGAGAGGACGAGACTGTGAAGCTGGGGTTCAGGGAAGAAAAGATCACTAGGCTACTTTAATGTAAGACACCTTTGAGACATTCATGAGGAAATGTTAAATAAGCAATAGAATATTCTGGTGGGAACTCAGGAGCAGCAGCTCTGGGCTGAAAACTAAACCTCCGTGCCTTGAGCATAAATGGTCACTGGCATGTAGGAGATCACCTAATACAGATAGAGAAACAACCAGAGCCTCGTACTCCTGCTTGGGAAACTGCAACTTTAAATTTTTCATTAAGTAGAATGAGTTAGCTTGGGTGGGAGAAAAGTGGCCAGAGAGGTCAGAAAGCAGGCATGGATGACTCAGTTATTCCCATTCCGATGTCCTCCAGGGATGCCTTCCTGTATTGCAGAAGCCATGCCTTTGCAGCTAGCCTCTTTTTTGGAATGAAAGAATTCTGAGAGACTTAATATATCCACCTTAGTGACTCACAACATTGTACTTGGCCTTACAGCTGTGATAAAAATTCTTGAACGCTTGAAAAACTCATACATTGCCTACTTTTCTCAGATTCTGTTTATCTCTTCTCAGCTCCCTCTAAATGACTGGTTTGCCAATCCCAGAGCATGCTGGCAAAGAGAAAAAGCCCAACGAGCATCAGGACTTCAGAGGACTGAACCACAAGTCTTGCCCCTCACCCAGTTTTCACGCAGAGGAAGGCGATCATACACAACTGGAACAAACGAACTGAGCACATGGCCGTGGCAATTCTCATTGTTCCTATTTTTAATCGGGTCACAGATCAATAGAATTGTGGATTTTGAAGAATTGTAAAGCTAAATCATGAAAATGAAATCACAATTCAGGCGGGGTGCAGTGGCTCATGCCTGTAATCCCAGGAGTTTGAGAGGCCAAGGCAGGTGGATCATTAGGTCAGTAGATCGAGACCTGCTGACCAACATGGTGAAACCCCTCCTCTACTAAAAATACTGGCCAACATGGTGAAACCCCTCCTCTACTAAAAATACTGGCCAACGTGGTGAAACCCCTCCTCTACTAAAAATACTGGCCAACGTGGTGAAACCCCTCCTCTACTAAAAATACTGGCCAACGTGGTGAAACCCCTCCTCTACTAAAAATGCTGGCCAACGTGGTGAAACCCCTCCTCTACTAAAAATACTGGCCAACGTGGTGAAACCCCTCCTCTACTAAAAATACTGGCCAAAGTGGTGAAAACCCTCCTCTACTAAAAATACTGGCCAACATGGTGAACCCCCTCCTCTACTAAAAATACAAAAATTAGCCAGGTGTGGTGGTGTGCACCTGTAGTCCCAGCTATTCAGGAGGCTGAGGCAGGAGAATCACTTAAACTCAGGAGGCAGAGGCTGCAGTGAGCTGAGATCCTGCTGCAGTGCTCCAGCCTGGGCGACAGAGCAAGACTCTGTCTCAAAAAAAAAAAAGGAAATCACAATTCAGATACAAGGCATAGATTTAATTAAATGTATATGGATCATTCTTGAAGTTCCTAGAGTTACCTATAAAGGGCAATTATCAGATTTGGCTTATCACACATCAATCTTATCAGCATGGTTCAATTTCAGAAGAAATGTATTAAGCTGAAATTAGATTGTGCCCCCCAAGAAGACTTAGTAACTATGCACTTTTGGAAATGAATATATAAATTCCAGAACTGTTCAGCAGTTTAGTGAAAAATGTCTGGTCCCTGATTGTACATTTTCTTTTGTGACATCATTAAGACAGAAGCCGAGTGTCACTATAAATTATGTAAACCGCCAGGCACGGTGGCTCACACCTGTAATCCCAGCACTTTGGGAAGCCAAGGCGGGTAGATCCCGAGATCAGGAGTTTGAGACCAACCTGACCAACATGTTGAAACCTGATCCCTCCTAAAAATACAAATATTAGCCAGGTCTGGTGGCGGGCATCTATAATCCCAGCTACTCAGGGGGCTGAGGCAGGAGAATCACTTGAACCCAGGAGGTGGAGGTTGCAGTGAGCCAAGATTGTGCCATTGCACTCCAGCCTGGGTGACAGAGCAAGACTCCATCTCAAAAAATAATAATAATAAAATAAATAAATAAAGCTTCAGTCAGAGTAATTCAATCTGTACAGGACAATATTCTCATTGTCATTATTACAATTGGTGAGTGATTAGCATGAGACCTATGACTTAATGTAAGCCCCATGAGAGCAGGGACCTCATGCAGTGCTCCAGCCTGAGATATGGAAGCTGCTCAACATACATTTAGTTTTCTAATTTTTATTTTGAATTATAGTTAATTCCTGAACAGCATGGGTTTGAACTGTGTGGGTCCACTTATATGGAAATTTTCTTCCACCTCTGCCACCCCTGAGACACCAAGACCAACCACTCCCTTCATCTTCCTCCTCAACCCACTCAATGTGAAGACCATGAGGATAAAGAGCTTTATGATGATCCACTTCCACTAAATGAATTGGAAATATAGTTTCTCTTCCTTATGATGTCTTAATAACATCTGAGTCTCATCACGTTCCAAAATTTACTGATTTGATAAATGATGATATACATATGAAAGAGTCTCATTCTTGCATTCCCCTATGAAAAACAGATAGGAAACTAGAGTACAATATTTGTGTCTAGCTCATTTTGCCTTTTCCTTTACAATATACCATCAAAATACTGTTTTCCAAAGTAACTCTGACTAGTGCTTTTTTCTCCCACCCCTTCAATATGGTTATGTTATTCATTCATAACATAATTATAGTAAATTCATTTATACTTTTAATATTCCAATTTTCTCCCATCCCATTGTTTTAACCACTAATTTTGGGAGTTTGTAAAGCATTAACATGGCTCTAGGAGTCAACATTAGCATAGTTCTAAATATGAACATGGTTAGCAAAGTATCTCTCCCTGAATCCTCTGACCCCATTCTCAGCAATACCATTATTTCCCCTCTGTTCTCTCCCAAAACCTGTAGGTAACCAATTTCAGCTCCTAATTTACTCTTTGGCACAAGTGAGGAGATGTATGTATATTTTCTTATATAATGCACTTTTATTTTTTGAGACAAAGTCTCGCTCTGTTGCCCAGCTGGAGTGCAGTCGCATGAACACAGCCCACTGCAGCCTCAACCTCCTGAGCTGAAGCACTCCTGTCTCAGTCCCCTGAGTAGCTGGAACCACAGGAGTGTGCCACCAAGCCAGGTTAACTTTTTAATTTTTTGTAGCGACAGGGTCTCCCCATGTTGCCTAAGCTGTATAATGATCATTTTTACTTGAAGTGTAGAATATTATACTCTTGTGCTTTCCTTTTTTCACTTAAGATATCCTAGACATGGGATATTTGCTAGTTGTACTCGTTGCAGTATGTAACAGATCATAGAGCACTTCCTTGTTCTTACAGCCACATAGTACTGCACTCAGTGGATGTTATTCAGCCACTTTCCCATGTATGGGCATTTAGGCTGTCTGTAATATCTTATAGTTAACAACCAATGAGCAAGTTGCCCAAACCCTATGTCACCCATAATGGTTGCCCCAGCTCCCTGCCTTAGGCTCACACCTATGGCCACATGGAGGGTTCTGTACAACCAGGTGGTAGAAGAGGAAAGAGCCCAAGCTTGGTTCATAAACTTGTCAGTTCAGTAGATGAATGCAAGGTGAAAGTATTCCTGTCTCATGCCCACCCCACTGCAAGTCTTTGTGGTGAGCAATGAATAAGCTTGTGCATATGTATTTTCATATTGTTGAAGGTATATCTAAAGGGTAGAGTCCTAGAAATGGGACTTGTAGTTCAAAAGGTTAAGGTATATGGGGTTTTTGGTATTGACAAATACCAAAGAAGCTATGTGTTTCCAAGGCTAGTCCTTTAAAACAAGCATATTTTTAATTCTCTTGTCTGTAGTCTGTGCTCTGAACTCCTCAGACACTATTTTGCTAGTTTCAGACTTAGGATGGACATATTCTTTTTGGCAGTGGGTTTAAATCAACCTGAGACCCCATTGCTAGCTCCCTCCATCTCCTTCCTCTGTAGTTTTTCTCATCTGTCTGTGCTCAACACATTCCACGCTAGGAATACAGCTTCGGCCAGGTGACCTACTGGGCACTGTGTTTCCTTCTTTGTGGTAGCAGACAAGTGAGTGCAAGAATGTACCGTTTAATTTGGAGGAGGTGTCCTGGCACACTTCTGATTACTGAACCCCTGAAAGCTTTCCTAAAGTGCCAGGTCTCTGAATCTCCACTGTCCTACCAAGACCTCTCGAATGCTGGCTACCTCTTGTTTGTCCTGCCCAATCAGCATGATGTCACCCATGTAATGGATACTGTAATGATCCGCAAGATGTCCAGACTGTCTGGGTTTCTTCATACTATATGATGACAGAGGGTGGAAAAGTTCATAGCACCCTGGAGCAAAACAGTCAATTAATGCTGCTGTCCTTTCCACATGAATACAAACTGCTGCTCTTCAGAATAGAAAAGAACACATTTGCCAAATCAGTGGCCACATATCATGTACCTGAGGTTTTCATAATCTGCTTTAGCAACAATACTGCTCTGTTTGGCAGCTGCAGTAGGACAGCAGCTCGGTTAGGCTTGTGGCATTCTACAATCTGGTGACTGCAAGCATCAGACTGGCTGAGCAAATGGAGACGTGGTAGGAGGGACCACCACCTTGTATCCTTTGAGGCTTTAATAGGCATTAAACCCTGTGATGCAATATTGCTTTGATTTACTAATTTGGTCCGGGGGTGGGGGGCAGCTTTAGAGGCTCCTACTTAGCCTTCCCTATTGTGATAGCTCCTACCCCACGTACCATGGACCCAAAAAGGTGTTATTTCAGCTGCCAGGACCCAAGAAAATGACCACTAAGTAGAAGGGGGACAAGCGAGGGGCTAATTGTACACATATAAAACATATGACTTCAGCCAGGGCTCTAAGGTGGGATGGGGAAGGGACACACGCAAGATGACATTTCAGATCTCGAGATATTCATGTCAACTAAGTCTCTGTGTCTAACAATCTTTGCAAAGTCTGGGTTTTTCCTCCTCCCCGATATATAGTAACCCAAGTAAATGGCCATAGGTCCCTTTGGGACAGTCCTGGGGGAATCATCATGGTATTTCTTTGCCATGTTATTGCTGCCTACTTCCTCCTGGAGACTTGGCCGTCTCTTCAGTCCATGAGCTCAGAATGTGAAAATTGACTTAGGTCTGGGAACTCAGCAAGGGAACTTGTAGAAACAGAGACTGCAGGGAAGAAGAGAGGTAGGGAAAGGGAAGATGTTGACCAAAGTGTACAAAGTTTTGGTTAGACTAGAAAAATACATTTTCGTGATCTATCGTACTGCATAGTGACCACAGTTAATAATAATGTATTGCATATTTCAAAATTGCTAAAAGAATAGATTTTTTAATGTTCTTACCACAAAAAAATGGTAAGTTGGTGAGGTGATGCATGTGTTAATTAACTTGATTGAATCTTTTTTTAATGTATACATATATCAAAAAATTACATTGTACCCATTAAATATATGCAATTATCATTTGTCAATTAAACATAATTAAAAAGTTAGGTGCAGTGGCTCATGCCTGTATCCTAGCACTTTGGGAGGCTGAGGCAGGTGGATCACTTGAGATCAGGAATTCGAGACCAGCCTGGCCAACATGGGGAAACACTGTCTCTACTAAAAGTACAAAAATTAGCTGGGCGCGGTAGTGCATGTCTGTTAATACCAGCTACTGGAGAGGCTGAGGCAGGAGAATCGCTTGAACCTGGGAGGCAGAGGTTGCTGAGAGCCGAGATCAGACCACTGCACTCCAGCCTAGGCAATAAGAGTAAGACTCCATCTCAAAAAAAAAAAAGAAGGTTTGTTTTTTTTTTCCACCCCAGTTAAAAGGACTAATATTCACAAGACAAGCAATAACAAATGCTGGTGAGGATGTGGAGAAAATGAACCATTGTACACTGCTGGGGGAATGTAATTTTTTTTTTTTTACTTTAAGTTCCAGGATACATGCACCGAACACGTATACCGATACATAGGTATACGTGTGCCATGGTGGTTTGCTGCACCTATCTACCCATAGTCTATGTTTTAAGCCCCCCATGCAACAGCTATTTGTCCTGATGCTCTCCCTCCCCTCACCCCCACCCCTGACAGGCCCCAGTGTGTGTTGTTCCCCTCCCTGTGTCCATCTGTTCTCATTGTTCAACTCTCACTTATGAGTGAGAACATGTGATGCTTGGTTTTCTGTTCCGGTGTTAGTTTGCTGAAGATGATGGCTTCTAACTTCATCCATGTCCCTGAAAAGAACACAGTCTCAGTCCTTTTTTATGGCTGCATAGTATTGCATGGTGTATATGTACCACATTTTCCTTATCCAGCCTATCATTGATGGGCATTTGGGTTGGTTCTATGTCTTTGCTATTGTAAACAGTGCAAACATAGGTGTGTGTGTATGTCTTTATAGGAGAATGATTTATATTCCTTTGGGTATATACCCAGTAATGGGATTGCTGGGTGAAATGGTATTTCTGGTTCTAGATCCTCGAGGAATCACCACACTGTCTTCCACAGTGGCTGAACTAATTTACATTCCCACCAATAGTATAAAAGTGTTCCTATTTCTCCACATCCTCACCAGCATCTATTGTTCCCTGACCTTTCAATAATCACCATTCTGACTGGCATGAGATGGTATCTCACAATTATCATTTGTCAATTAAAAACAATTTTAAAAGAAAGCTTGATTTAAAAAAAGAAACATACTAGAAATGCTTATTCCTTACGCAGGAACACATTGCCCTTAGATACATCCGAACACTGGCTCCTCATTGCTATCATGCATTTAAGCACCTTTTGCAAAAATATTTTATTCATTGGTGCATTTATTTCTTAACAACTGTAACAAATCATAACAAACTGGGTGGCTTAAAACAACAGGTGTTTTCTCACAGCTCTAGAGGTGAGAAGTCCAAAATCAAGGTGTTGACAGGGCCGTACTCCTTGGGAATCTCCATTGGAGAATCTGTTCTTCACCTCTGGTGGCTGCTGGCAGGGAGCTTTACTTTGTGGCCACATGGCTCCAGCTGCTTCTTCCGTCTCCACACTGCCTTCTTCTCAGGGTGTGTTGAATCTCCCATGTCTCTTGTCTGAGGACACTTGTGATGGCATTTGGATCACCCGGATAATCCAGGATTATCTCCTCATCTCTAGATCCTTAACTTAATCACGTCTGCAAGGCTCTTTTCCTAATAAAGTAACATTTACAGGTTTATAGGATTAGACCCTGATGTCTTTGGAGCCACCATTCAGCCTTCGACAGCTGGTATTAATAATCTTCACATCAGTTTAATGACTTGGTTAAAACTATCTCTGCCAAAGAACCCAAGGCGCAGAAATGTTATTATTTATTTATTTAGACACAGGGTCTCACTCTGTTGCCCAGACTGGAGTGCAGTGGTTTGATCTCAGCTCACCACAACCTCCACCTGCTGGGCTCAAGCAGTTTTCCTGCCTCAGCTTCCCAAGTAGCTGGGTCTACAGGTGCATGCCACCAGGTCCAACTAATTTTTCTTTTTTGGTAGGTCAGAGTTTCACTCTTGTTGCCCAGGCTGGAGTACAGTGGAGCAATCTCAGTTCACTGCAACTTCCCCTTCCTGGTTCAAGCAATTCTACTGCCTCAGCCT